ATTCTCAGGACCGATATCATCCTCACTTTACAAATGGGGAAATGGACCACTCACAGAAGCAGAATCAACTTGTGGCATTCCTAGAGGGCCAGCTGTGTGCTGAGGATACAGGGAAGGAGAGAGCTGACTGTGGCCTGTGGGTTAAATCGTAATGACTATTTCAACCTGGAAAGGAGTGCACAGGGAAGATTTAACAAAGTTTTTCTATAGTTTAGATACTGTTTCTCAAACTTTCAGATTTGAGAGCTAATGAAAATACTACAAAGGCCCAGGCTCAGTGAAGTGAGCCTAGGACCCGTACCTCTGCATTTTCATCAAATTCCTCAGGTGATTCTGATTCATACCAGTGTGTGTGTGTGTGTGTGTGTGTGTGTGCCCGCACTCTTGCGCACAGGCATGCGTATCATGGTGACTGCATATGTACTAAAGCAAATAACTAAAAGGTTAAATTACAGCATGAAGCATTTAGATTAGATGAAAAAGCAGAAGAGGAAGTGTGGGAGGAAGTTTCTTCTTCCTAAAAAGGCTTACTTGGGAATAGCAGTGGTTCTCAAACTGTAGTCTGCACCAGAATTGCTTGGAGGGCTGTTAAAACAGACGGCTGGGCCCCACCCCCCCAGAATTTGTCATTCAGTAGGTCTGGAGTAAGGCCCTAGGATTTGCCTTTCTGACAAGGTCCCAAGGGCTGCTGCTGCTGCTGGTCCAGGGGCCACACTCGGAGACCATCAGTGTAGACAAGCACAGTGGTTCTCAATCCTGGCGGCACGCTAGAATCATCTAGGATGAGTTTTTAAAGTATTGATTTAAATACTCTGGGCCCCACCCCAGAGATTCTGATGTAACAGGACTTCGGTGAAGCCCAGATAGTGTAGTTTTCAAAGCTCCCCGGATGCTTGAACGTGCAGTGCGGGTTGAGAACCACCGGTGCCCCGGCTTCCTGGGAAGGCCGGCGAGTCGGGGCGGGGGGAGTCACGTTCAGTCCTGGGCTGCCAGACTTAATCACGTTTGTCTGCGTGTCCTCTCCCGGAGGCAGGTGAAGGCAGCGCACCAAACGATCCTCCTAACGTCCTTTTCCCCACCCGGAATCCACGCTCCGACTAGGATGCTGTTAAAATGTGTTCCTGAGACACAGGAACACACGTGTGTTCCTGAGTGCAACAACAGCGTCTAGACTCGGTTGATTTTTCCCTTTCAACAATGCTGCCCTCTAGTGTTCTTAAACAGTAGAATCAGATAAAAACCCACCTCAGCCAGCAGGATGGCGATTTCCTTTTCGAGAGCTGAACGACTGGGCAATTTTCCTCTGAGTTTAAAAAAAAAATAAACAAATTCAATAGACATTAAAATAATTTTTAATCTGTAGCCACGTGAATCTCTGACTGGGGCCTCCCGGTCCTCCCGCAGTTTCTGCTGCGTTCTCCTGGAGTTCTCCTTTCCGCATTTCTACCAAGCCCTTCTCTGCAGAGTCAGAAGCCAAACAAATCAGGGAGCAGGAAAAGACCAGCGACTAGAGTCCCCAAGGCATTGCAGTGTCCTCCACAGGCTCTTCCGGCTCAGAACTGCTCGTTCTCACCTTTTCCTCACCTCTCACACCCACCCCTTTCTCACCTGATTGATGGCTTATTGAGGCTACAGTCCATGGAACAGGGACCCATGTCTTCCCATGGTGAGCTCTACAAGCCCGCCCGGGTCCCACCATCTGGACGAAGTGTCCTTGGCAGCTCACAGGTGCTTTGCCCTCCTCCATCTCATTCGTCAAGTCTCCCTTCTTCCCCATGCCCCCAGCCCGTATCATCAATAACTCCCTCTTTCTAGCTCACTCCCCGTGGCACACAGGCTTGCTCTTACATCTCTCATCTTGAACATAAAACTATGCTTTGACCCTAAGCACCCCTTCAGCTACTGCCTTACTTCTCTGTTCCATTCACTTCCAAGCTTGAGTCCACCCAGGTTGTCTCTAAAGCCTCCCCCGCCCCGTTCTTCCGTCTGCTCCAGCCGGGCCTTGGTCCCGCCGCACCACCCGCACGGAAACTGCTCATCTCCTGTCTGCCATGACTCCCAGCATTTGGCCGAATCCAGTGGACGCTGCCTTGTGCCCCTCTGACTTGAATGCTCACGGCGTTCCTGTCTGTGGGCACAGCTCCTCCTCGACACGCTCCCTGCTCTTGATTCTGAAACATCCCCTGCCCCTGGCTTCCTTCCTGCCCCTCTGGCTGCTGATGACCTGGAGCCCTGCAGTGTCCTCTGTCCGACCCCTGGGCTGGCTTGTAGAACTTCTTCTCTTTTCTCTCCACAGACTCCCCTTATATAGTCTCGTCCACCTCCATGAACTTAAGCACAATCAATAGTCTGGTGACTAATAAATGTATTACCTCCAGCCCAGCTTGCTCACTGTGTCACTTATCCAACTCTCCTCACTATCTCCCGTCTGTATCTCACAGGCATCTCCAGTTTTTGCATGTCCAAAAAGGAAGTCCTGATCTTCCTCCCCCATCTCCCTCCTCTGTGTAGATGGACAGCTATCTGGGAGACCGCTTGATGCCTCCCTTTCCCTCACTTGCCACTTTCAGTCTATCTGCAAATCTTATGAATGCTACCTCCAAAATACATTTGGAATCCATCCCATCTCTCTGTCTTTACTACCACCACCCTGTTGCAGGCCGCCCTCATCTCCTGCCTGAAACACTGCAACACCTTCCTAAAGATCTTCCTGCTTCCTCCAACGCTCCCCTCACCGCTGCCTCGCCACAGCACAGTCAGAGCAGAGACAGTGGTCTGAAATGTAAACTATATCCTGTCATTCCCTTATCTAAAAAATCTCAATAACTTTCCATTAAACTTTGAATAGGATATGAAAAACTGGTTTGCCCTCAGCCAACTTCATCGTGTACCCCTGTCCTCCTTCCTTACTAGGCTGCTGCCACAATGGCTTCCTTCTGATTGCTGGAACTCAGTAAGCTCTACCTGCCTCAGGGCCTTTGTACATGCTGTTCCATCTTCCTAGAATGTCCTTCCTCTGGCTGGCTCCTTTTTATTTCTTATATCTAAACACTGACCTAACTGAATAGGTCTTGCCTCTTATTTCCTATCTCAGCCTCTTGTTTGTTTTCTTCTCACACTTCACATTTTATATTACTTGTTTACATCTCCATCTCCTCCATTCAACTCTAAACTCCCTGAGTTCAGAAGCTTTGTATCTGTTTTACTCACAGATGAACCCAGCACCTGGCACAGAGCCTAGCAAATATTCAGCGTGTCATACGTGTGTGTTGAATGAAGGTGTGGGAAGAGTCAACCTCCGCTCCACCTTAACTGCTCTTGTTGAGGCCTTGGTGACTTCCATGTGGCCAGGCCACTGGACGGTGTTCTGTGCTCCTCTTACTCGAGTGCAGAATAGAGACAGGGGAGCGTCTTGGGCTCAGTTTACTGTCTGTTAACCTCGTCAGTACTTACCAACACATTTGGTTCACCACAATATCCCAGGAGACAGTGCAGCAGACGCTTCGTAAGTACTGTTGACCAAAGGAACCCTCAGCTCCAAAGGAAACAGGATGTGAAAAGACAGGGAGCCGGTGCTGTGACCAAGATGTCCAAAGAGAGAATACTTCTGGGGCAGAAATTTAAATAATGGCTTTCAACTTGCAGAAATGTTTATCACAGGCAATCATTTCCATTTGTATAATAAAAGAAAAAAATGTTTCATAGAACTTTTTGTATCTCATTTTTTTAATACAGGGAGAGTGAACTTCATAGTTTTAGTTGCTAAGTATAATCTGATATTTAGGAGTCTTTCTCTAAGAAAGAAAAATATTTTGCTTATAAGCCCAGTTCTACCTCTTTTGGGTAGATGGGGGTGAGTAGAAGCATCCTCCTCTTCCAACAGAGAACTCGAGGGCAGTTGAAAGTGGTTCACGTAAGTCAAGCAAGCAAGTAGGCTAAGGCCCCAACCCTGGCTGTCTCATTCCAAATCCTGCCCCCGTCAGAGTGGACACTGCGTGCTCATGAGAAACAAAAGAAGAATACATCTACCTCAACTCGACTTTGAGACAAAGATTTGATTCTTCTGAAGGACATTTAACCCTCAAGAATTAATGGGACGTGGAGCAGCCGGAGGCCTGCAACCCTTTGAAACTGTCAAATGACCTGGCATCCTAGGTGTTTGGCTGACCTGCTCTATAGAAGAAATCCAACCGTGTCTGCCACTTCTCACTCAGTGGAACTTGAGGCTCTCCACGCTCCCTGGTTCTGCATGACGTCTGGTTGGTGCCAAGAGGATTAGCTCAGCTCCACGCCTCTGGGGAAGGGATTCATTTTCCTGTTTAGGAAATATGATGTCAGGCAGAAAGAGGCGAATGAGCAAACTGGGTGGGGCCATGAGCAGGCCCGGTGAAATCCATCACATGGTGTCTTAGAATAAAGCTCAGTTCACAGTGGTCAATGACAGGGTGTGCCTTTGTGGGCTGGGAGCCACTGTGGCTTCAGCTGTCTGTTCAGCATTTAATATGTTTATCTTTCTGCTAAACACATTGTTGCTGAGTCCTCTCTATTAAACAGCCACCCTGTGTGAGGCCCCACGCTGTAAATCCGACACACAAACACAGGCCTTCTACCCTCCACCACCTTACATTCCACAAAGTCACAACAAATGCTTTCTCTTACTTCTTACTTTAGCGAACAAGGTCTCCAGGCCCTGAAAGAGGTTAACACTGTGTTCTTTTATTAGGCCAAGAACCACGAAGCAATAAAAGTAAAGGAAGAACTTCAAGTGGTCATTATGTTTTTAACATCATTTAGTGTTTTTGCTGCAAACTGAAAATGGAAAGTCAATTTACCCAAAAGTACCGTCAGCCTCCAAACCATCTGTATTTCATGTTAGACTATTATGCTGTCGCCAATGTCTAAACTGCTAAACTTTCTAAACTTTGGGCAGAAAAAAAAAGACCACATAACTTTGAAAAATAGAGAAACTCATGAAATGCTATCTGTTTGGCCTTCCATAGAAATTGTTCGCGCCATGACACATGTGATAAACCAAGGAATGGCGATGTACTGGGGAACCTCACGGTGGAGTGCTATGGAGATCATGGTAAATTCGTTTCTATTCTTAAATAGCCATTGAGTACCTATTGTTGTTTTTCAGATACCATGTGTAAATTTCAAGATCTTTTGCAAACTTTCCTCACAATCGATACCGCACTGGAATTCTATGATCTATTTCATCATTATGGAGATGTATGTGGGGGCTGGATCTCATCAGCTCAGAATACAACAGGGAAGGTGCAGGTCTCCAATAAGAATCATGTTTCAGCGTGTTCTTTGGTGGCAAGAGGTTAAAGTGAATTTCCCAGCCAATGAGATATATGAACAAAATATTTTAGTTTTCTTTTTAAAAACTGGATTAAATAACTATACTGTTTATAACATGCTAATGATACAGATTATTTTTATATATTAGTCTAAGTTTTATTTCTTTAGGAACCTAAATATAGTCAAACTACATTTTCTTTATAACAGTCTATAATTCACACTTTGACTAATTTGCTCTGGACTTGACTCAGTCAAAACCCTCCCAAAGAAGAATAATGATCTCCTGCATTTGGTGTTGCTCTTAGTGAAATTGATGGTCATAACTTTGCTTATTATTTGGCATCCTACATGTTTCTTGGTTTGTATTGATTTCACTAAAATGAAAATTTCTCATGCATATGAAACCCAGGGCAGCCTTATTTCTCATCAGTATAAATTCAGTTGCAATCTTATTTCTCCCTAGGAAGCCTATTCTGTAGCAAGACAGTTCAATATGATCCCACCCGTCTGTGAACAAGCTGAGTACCATCTTTTCCAGAGAGAGAAAGTGGAGGTTCAGCTCCCAGAGCTCTACCATAAAATAGGTAATCTTCACAATCAAATTTAACGATTATTTTTAACAATAGGAGGATCAGTGATCCGGGAAAAAATGTTATGAATCGCTTTCCTAAATGTCCCTAATTAACATATGGATTGTAAGAACTCTGCCTTCCAGAGACTGGAGAAGAATCATATGTGCCTCTGTGCAGTCTCCACTGATGAAAGCCGAGCAGAGCTGTAAATTGTGACTAGCGTGTAAACTGTACTCAGTAGGTGTTCAAAAAATGCATATAGAATGAAGGGAAGAAACAGTGAATAAACTCATTTTTCCTAGGGTGCTTGCTCTAGCCAAAGCATGCATCTTTGAGTGGATTATGCTGCCTTTCCAAAAGATTATGGACATGTACATCTATGACTCCTACTCTGTGCCTAGAACTGAGTTAGACAGAAGGAATTCAAGATTGGCTGACAAGCCAGGCACCACATATGTGTGTAGGTAGACATAATGCTTTCAAAGAGAGGGAAGAAATAGATATACAACATACAAGAATTCTAGACATCAGAAAAACACAAACAAGCCACATTTTCAGGCTTATCTATCAAAACAGTTTCCAGAGAGAACTTTCTTCCTAAGAAATAGAGGTTCCCATGAGCAGGAAAATGCTGGGTAAGGGAAAAAAGGATTAAAAAAATTCAACAACAACAATAACAACTGTTATTACTGCTATCACCTATTGTGTTTACTGTGCAAGAGGCATTGCACTCCTGCTCTGGACAGGCACTATTTAGGAACGAAGTGGACGAGCGAAGCACTGAATTTCTGTGCGAGTAGAAGTGTCTGTCTCCAAGTGTAAAAAGAAACATGAATTTTGGACTTCAGAAATTATGGATAAGCCACATTTTCAGACTTATTTATATGGTCCACTCCCTATAACCAACAGTGCATGTTTAATTCATTTATAAAAATGAAGCACAATTTGTAAATGCCTAAATTTTAATGGAAAGATGTATGCTGGTATTAACTCATTTATCTGGCCAGGTTTTCCCATAACTAACCAAGTCCTGTTTAAACACCCCCACACTTTTGATCCCAGCTTACACAAGCAACTTTTTAAGTTTTTTTCTTCTATAGGAGTTGGAGCAATGACGTGGTCTCCCCTTGCCTGTGGAATCATCTCAGGAAAATATGGAAACGGGGTGCCTGAAAGTTCCAGGGCTTCGCTGAAGGTATTTCCCTCCACCTCTAGGAAAGTCAGGATGGGAGCGAGGGATGGGGAGAGGGGAGGAAGAAGATTGAACAGAACAGCTCTGCAGCAGCCTGTGGCTTTGGGGCTCAGCAGAGTGTGGCCTTGGCCCAGCTGGTGTCCTCTGGCAGGCTCCTGAACCCTCCAGAGGCCTCTACTCCTGGCCAGGTATCAGTCAGCCCTTCATAAGCCAATGGCACAGAGATTTCTCCTCGGGGTACTAGGGGGAAATGCCCAATGACCTGGTTGGACTTGTAGGGCTCAAATCCCTACACTATTATTTATTCTTATGTTAAAGAAGGCATTTCATGCCTTCTTTGAAGCTAACACAATTTAAAATCACTCTTTTATATAAAAGGATCTAATTTTACTTTTCTTGACAAAACAATATTTAAGCCATAGAGGTTTAATCCATATAGGGCAAACCAGTTGCAGCTGAGTACAGTTTGAGGTTGGTTGACGTTTTTTTACTGTGTGGGGTGGGGGGTGGGGAGGAGGGTTTGGGAAGCAGATGCAGAGCCAAGCTGCTGTCCCTGGGGCTCAAGGCCAGCATTCACAGGTATCAACTCCGGCCACTGAGTCCTCCGGTTAAATTCTTATCTGAAGCATAAAGATATTCCAGATCATTGACATAAAGTTACCTCCATCCAGAACAACTTGATGGTTAATTTATTGGAGGGTACTCCAAACATCTCTCCCTATTAATAACATGTCTGTTTTTAAAAACTTGAGAGAATGTGTAATAACATTAGAATCATAAATTACTCTGTGATGTCAAGGGAGGAAGAATATAGGCATTTTTAAAATTCAGGCAAGGGGCCGGCCCCGTGGCCTGTTGGTTAAGTTTGGCATACTCTACTTCAGTGGCCCAGGTTTGGATCCCGGGCATGGATCTACACTACTCGTCAGCGGCCATGCTGTGGAGGCGTCCCACATACGAAATAGAGGAAGACTGGCACAGATGTTGTGCTCAGGGACAATCTTCCTCAAGCAAAAAGAGGAAGATTGGCAACAGATGTTAGCTCAGGGCAAATATTCCTCAGCAAAAAATAAATAAAAATAAAATTCACACAAGCCAAGGGCCCCTAAGAGGAAGCAGAGGTCTGATGCAGCCTCTTGCCTCCATCAGCACAAAGTCAGCGGGAGGACGCTCAGGTTAGGCCCAAACCACGGACACTTGAATCAGTGTGGCTGGAACCACCTTGTGCTTCCCTAATCAGAACCTTCTCAAGACTCTAGGTCTATCACTTTCCTTTCTGCCTGTAACAGTTAATCTATTAGCTTGTTTGTTCTCTAAAATAATATAATATAAATGTCTCCTAAAACATGGTGACATGGTTCTGTTTCTAGTTTTGCATTATCACAAAACATAATCATCCTAAAATATGAAATATGGTTTTGCTTCTGAAAAATTGAAGATTATTCTGAACCAGGTCTAAATAAGTCAGCAAAGAAAAACTAAAAGCATCTTAGGGAAGCAGGTGTAAAAGGAGGGAGGCAGGAAGAGAGTGAAGAAGGAAGGGAAACACTGAACGTGCTGATTTCCCTGAGCACGGACTATGGGCCAGGCAGCCGGCGAAGTGTTTATATCGCTCCCTTGATCCTCACAAAGACAGATGGAAACAGATGGCTTGTAGTCAGTTGTAGGTAAGCATGTGCCTTACATTCTTTCAGAAACTTTCTGAAAAACTCAAAAAGTACTTCCATATGTGCCGAGATTTGTTCTTAGACTATCCTTATAAGAGGGTAAGCATTTTCCAGGTGCAGAAACTGAGCACAAAGCAATTAGATAACAATCCAAGAGCATAAACTCACAACAGAGAAAGTTGGTATTAAGACCTAGAACCTAGGTCTCCTGGCTCTCAATTTACCCCCCCATAGACATTTTTGTTTCCCTTCAAACCTAGGTTTTTAAAAGAGGAAGAAGCAGCTACACTGTGTTTGGAGTGTGTGGTTGGCTGACCTCCATCACTGTTTGGGAAAAGCTTACAAACGGCTGAAAAAGCTTTCACAAATGCACCAAAAAAGAAGAAAGGAAAAAGAAGGAGATATAAAATATTTGAAGGTGGTTAAGCCCAAAAGCAACTCAGAAAATATTTCTGTTGTTGACTTTTATAAAGTCAACTCACTGTCTATTGAAACATCCTTAACAATAGACATTAAGAGCTCTCAACATGTGAGACACAGCCAATTGTGAGCATACTTCTTTAGGGCCCTGCAGGCTCGCAGAGATTCCTAAATCGTCAGCCTCAGTGTTTTCCAGGCGAATATATGTGTACTTAGGAAAGCCACTTGAGCAGAGTAACCAAAGCAAAAACAAAGCAAATATCAGGGCAACTTTAAGAGGGAATGAGGATGCTAACAGTAAAAAAAAAAAAAAAAAATTTAAAGGTAAAGAGCTAGGCAAGTACATAGATGACTAAGTTGGCAGCTTTCACCTCCCCCAAAATAAAATAAATGATTGGTGTTTCTTGGCTGTTTAAGTTATACCAATAAAATAAAGATGCTAATATTTTGTGTCTGTTGTAAATATTGAACTGTATTTGAAGGACAAATTAACCCAATGTGGAAGATACCTATCTTGTAGAAAGTAATATTACCCAGGGGGTTTTCTGGGAGGTTGCATCTGGCCCACCATAGTAATGATGACTTCTAAGTCAGTGTCCGCAGCTCTGACTTCACGGCTGAGCTAAACACCACTACTTCCTCGTGTCTATTAGACATCTCCCAGTGGCTGTCCCGTGGGTACCAGTCACGCCTAACGGAATCCATCCTCACGCCCCAGAACCTGCCCTTCCTTCTTGGTTAACGTTCTTCCACCTGTCCATCTGGTCATCCCAGTCAGCAGCCAAGGCGTTACCCCAGACTACCTCATCTCCTCCTTCACTCTTGTCCAGCAGGGCCCCACCTCCTCCAGTCCACACCCTGACCCTCTGTGTTTCCTCCCCTGCACAGCCCTTGTTCAGATCTTCATCATTTCTTACCTGGTTTGCTGCAGGAACCTCCCATTTGGACTCTGATTTTTTTTCCCCTTTTCTCAACTACCCACCACTGTGATCAATTATCTTTCTAAGAGATTAATCTGACCATATCATAACCCTGCTTCAAATCCTTTAATGACTTCCCAATCACTGCGTGTAGGACAAAACCCAAACCCCACAGAAAAGCATCCAAGGAAATACCCTGGGGATCTAAGTTGAGCCCACTTTTCCGTTCTTGTTTCTCCCCATATCATATTACTTCATTTTCTGCTCAAATGCACTGTACTCTCTTTTGCCTCCCAGAAATGCCCTTCTTTTCATTCTGCTGTAGAGGCTCTCCTCATCTCTAAAGACGACAAACCTTGGTTGTCTTCACCTCTGTAAAGCCTGTTCTCACTTTATAAAACTGAGTTATTTGCACCGTCCTCTATTATTCCATAACCACTTCTTACAGAGTCTTAGAATTCTCTAGTTGCAAGCAATAGAATTTAATTCAAACTAATTTAATCAAAGAAGGGGGACACATAAGCCCTCCTTGGGAAGGATGGAGTGTAGATGTCCTCAAGGGTGACTCCATCCATAGAGTTGCACACTGTCAGGAGTCTCCATCTCCCTACTTCTCTCTGCACGTAGGTGTCATTTTCTTCTACTGCAAATGGGTCTCTCCATGAGTCCAGGAGCGGGAAAGCTGGTGATTGCAGACTTAGATCCTCAAAAGCATATAACCTGAGAGAAAATCAGGTTATCAGCTGCAGTCCAGAGAATATGGGCCAAGCCTGGGTCATGTGCCAACCTGTTAGACTAATGACGGTGGCCAAAAGGACAAGGCGCTGTGGTGAGCTCACGCCATGCGCTCGCATTCGTAGAAGGAGGCAGTACAAATACGGCTTCTGAGGACATCACTGGGGGGCACCCCAGCTACAAGACCCGTCTCGCATTACCAGGCGATGTGTGAAGGCCTCTAGAACAGAAACTGAAACTTACTCATGAACTGATCACAGAGCCCGGGACATAACAGGTACTCAGTAAATGTCTGTTTAATGAATGCAATGAGCTGTAACAGAAGATCAGCAAAGTCTGATCAAGAGACAGGTGTGGGGGCCGGCTCCGTGGCTTAGCGGTTGAGTGCGCGCGCTCTGATGCTGGCGGCCCGGGTTCGGATCCCGGGCGCGCACCGAGGCACCACTTCTCCGTCCAACGCGAGGCCGAGTCCCACGTACAGCAACTAGAAGGATGTGAACCTATGACATACAACTATCTACTGGGGCTTTGGGGGGAAAAAAATGAATAAATAAAATCTTTAAAAAAAAAAAAAAGAGACAGGTGTGTAGCTTTTAAATAGAGATTTTAAATACAAACGAAAAGTGCAATAAAATTTATTGGCAGCCCTTCCCTGTTGTTAGCAAAATACCTTATAGAAAAATCATAAAGCTATGTACCCCTCTGTCACAGGAAAATAGGAAACATGCAAACCTAGGGAAGTCAAAGTCGGGGGAGAGGGCAGTGCAAGTACTCCAGGGGTTCACATGAAGAAGCTAAGAGTATTGCACATTATAGTGTAATTTCAGAAGGAAATTTTTTAGCTCCAGCATTTTACCCAGAGATTTCAACCATAGTAGTGAAGATTTTGCTGTTCTTTTGAGCCAAAGACTTTGGTGTTTAAATAGAAATAGTGAATGATCTTGGATGTTAAATTATTTTAGACAAGGTCCAGAGATGAATGGAACTGATTCTGTCCATGGCTTTCTAGTGGCTGCCTGAGTTCCAATCCAGGACTAAGAGCCAACTGGGGGCCTAGGGGCCAGTCTCGTAGACTGTTTCCACACCAGTATCATTACCTGTAAAACAGAGTCACAGCGATAATGGTCATAGCATTGGAAGATGGCAAAGAAATGGGCTTTAGGAAAATTTTGCGCGTTTCATGACTAATACGTATAAAAGTAATAGCCACTAATCTGTGAAGAAAAGCTCATTCAGTTGTTCATTTGGCAAATATTTACTGAGCAGCTACTTGGTGTTGGGCTCTGTGCTGAGTGCTGAGGATATGGGATACGGGATAAATGGGACAGTCTCGACCCTCGAGGAGTAACTCAGGGGCTCATTAGAGAGACAGACACGTGAGGGGGTGAATTATGAAACAATGTGGAATCCACACGCACTGTGGAGTCATGTGGGACAGCCAGCAGAATCATATTGCATTAAGGAGGGAGTGTCCATGCTCAATCTGAGAAATTGAAGGCATTTATTTTTACCCTGTGGAAACCCGGGTTCTCAGATTCCTTTCTCACCCTATATTGGCTGAGCCCCTCCTCTGTGCCAACCACTGTGTGAGGACTGGAGAAGTTGAGATAAACAAGAAGCCATCCCTGCCTTCCACTTAGTTAGAAAGAACGATCACCATGTAATCATACCAGCACAGTGCAATGGGGTAAGCAATATAAGAGGGTTGGAAGAGGAAATGTCACCTTTGGATTCATGGATTACTGCCCACGGTCAACAAGCTGGGTTTATTTTTATGCACAACCACACCCACCACCAATTTTCTTACAAAAGACATTGGTTCACTTCCACATTTAATTAATATTTTAATTAAGCCTCATCTCTTCCCTAAGCTAACATTTTCCCACTTGTAAAGCAGTTAAAGCTATTTATTTCCAAAATAATTTTGTTTCCTTTGGTACAAGGAAAGCAGTATAAACACTATGCATCTACTTTTTAAAAACTCAAAGCTGTTTATGTTTTCCAATAATCAATGCAACAATGAGATTTACAGTGTTGAGGGTGGGGAGAGAGGGAATCAGTAAGCAGAATGTTTGATGTTTATGACTTTTAGAAGTCTGCTTCTCAATACAGTGTGCATTGTGCGTGTGTGTGTGATACACACACACACGTATAACTTGTAACCTAGTCCTAAGAATAAAAAGGCACTGCACATAATAAGATTTCAAAAATGGAGTTCCACAAGATCAATAAATAAATCAACCATTCTTTATGTGTGTAGTATAGATCAAAACTTCAGGAACTCTCCTAGCTATAATAAAAAGCAATTGTTCACAAAGCATGTGGCTATTGGTTTTCAACCTCTTTTTCTTTTTCGTTTGAATGACATTCAGAGATACTGGTAGGTGGTGAACATGATGTAATCTATGCAGAAATAGAAGTACAATGATGTACACCTGAAATTTTTACAATGTTATAAACCAATGTTACTGCAATAAACAAAAAATTTAAAAAAAAAAAAAAAAAAAAAGAGATACTGGTGCCCTGAAAGATGATGTGAAACTAAAGTGAGGGTTGGTGATGTTTTTCCCATTGAGGACAATAAAAGTAAGTCCAGGGCTCTCTGACGGACCTAACCCGCTGGTCTGGCCAGGGAAGGCTGCTGGGCCCCCATCACAGTGCTCATTGTTCACAACTGCCCACCTCAGCACCGCTGGCACCCTTCCTCCTGGAAGAAGCTGAGGTTTCCCAGAGCCGAGGCTGGGAAACTCTTGGCCATCTCCCTAAGCAGACTCTCAAGTGAGGAGCCAGACCATAAGCCTTTGAGATCTGGGACGCAAACTGAACTGGGGCAGCTCGACCTTTCTTTCTCCCATCTGCAAAATCATTCCAAAAATTGTAATAAAACATAATTTGGTTACCCTTTTCTTTGGAATTACTGTCTTAGACTGATGAAAAAAATACTTAAGAAACAAAAGCCAGTAGCCTATTGAAATCATGTGGGTAGAGTGTCCACTGCCTTTGGGAAGGTAGAAGTCCGCGGTGGCAATTCTGTTGCCAATCCAAACAGGGAAAGTCCACCCTGCCACAGAGTGGGATGGTTTTTATTATTTTCACTAAAACAGACTAACAGATTCTTACTAATATTCTTTTCCTTTGGGTGTTGCTGCTTAGTGCTAGCTTTGTACGGAAGAGTCTATTGTTCCTCATTTCATAGTAAGAGCAGAACCTTCTGGAAAGTAAGGCATTGAGAAGTTCTAAAAGATTTTTCTTATATTTATGAAATGAGGCTCACTTTATAGTCTACAGATCAGAGTCAGTCTCGTCATAGGTTTTCAAGAATAGTTTCCCATTTTGAGTTTTCTCACCTTTTTAAGTTTCAATCATTATACAAAAGGTAATACACACTTGGGAAAGTCTTTCTCCACTTTAAAATTTAAAAATGTACTTGATACTGTTCAGTTATACCATCCATGTCTGCTTCTAGGAAGGAGCTAAGAAAGCTAACAATAAAGCCTCATTGTAAGAATACGAGTCTAGGAGTGAATTGAAGGCAAGAGGGAGCAAGATAGTTATTAATGAGAATGTAAGATAATGACTTCGAGCAGAAAGCTTGGCACCCAGCTTTCTTGACAAAAAGAAAACATAATAGACTGTGGTGAAATGTAAATGCTTTTTTTTCTTGCTGCATTCCAAAATTTGCTATCGCAGTAAGAAACATCATATCCTCCACTTAGCAGACTGGATATAATTGATTATATGTCAGGATTTTAACAAGTCGTGCATGTTGATGGATTTGAATGGTGAATATTAGTCAAACTCAATCCGTTTTGAACTAATAAACAAGGAGCAAGACCATGGGGAATATTTCTTTGCATGAAGGTATAGGCGTCCATGTCACCAGGACACATAAAGGCAAAGTCAAGCAGATTCAGGAATTCACCATAAGGTTCTTCTATTTTATTGAATTAACAATCGCTGACATCAAATCCTTACCAGACATTAACATTGAAATGTTCTTCTTATTCCTAGTGCTACCAGTGGTTGAAGGAAAGAATTATAAGTGAAGAAGGGAGAAAACAGCAAAACAAGTTAAAAGACCTTTCCCCGATTGCCGAGCGTCTGGGGTGCACGCTACCTCAGCTGGCCGTTGGTGAGAAAGTTATTGGGGGCGGGGAGTTGGGGGGCTGTGCTCTGGTGGGTGACAGAGAAGATTGTTGACCCACATCATTTTATCATGATAAAATATTGTGGGGGCAGACTGAAGCATAAACCCCTGGCAGATACTATCTAAAATGAGGTTTTCAGAGTTCCCCAGAATTTTCTACGAGCTAAAACACTTTTTTTCACTTCCTTCCTCTGTCCCTGTAACACAGTTTAAACAAGAACACGTCAGTGAAACTGCACATATCCTTACAGTGTCAGGAGCGAGTGGCCCCTGAACCGTGCAGTGACACCCATTTCTTCCGGCTCAGTTTTCCACCCCTGTGGAAGCTCAGGCAGGGCTAGACAGAGGCCCCCGTGGAAAGCCTATCCTCGAGGGGCAGCTCCACCCTGAAGCTTCCTGAGGGCCGTGGAAACTGCTCTTCTAACACCATGGCGTCGAGGAAAGGTCATAGTCACTGGTAACAACTGAGAACCACACGCACCAGCAGAGTCCAATAGAAATCTAATGTGAACCACATATTTAATTTTAAATTTTCTAGTGGCCAATTTACAAAAGTAAAAAGAAAATAGGTGAAATTAATTTGATAATGGATTTTATTTAAGCCAATATAGCCAAAATATTATCAATTTAACATGCAATAAATATAAAAAGTTACTGAGATATTTTACAGTCTTTTTTTCTTATTAAGTCTTCAAAATCCAGGATGTATTTTATACCTACAGCACATCTGAATTCAGGCTACACACCTCACGCGTTCAACAGCCACTCATGTGGCCAGTGGTTAGCTCTTGGACAGAAAGCATTCAGACTTGGTGCCCTTGCTGGGGGATATCTGCCAGGCTCTGTGATAAGCACTCTATCCATTGTCTTGTCTCCTTAATCGTCAGAACCATCCTATGAGTTGTATAATTCTACTAGCCCTAACTTGCAGAGGGTAATGGAGGATTTGCGGTCATTATCTTCACTTTACAAACGAAGAAACTGAGGATAGAAGAATTCATGTGGTAGCTATGAGAAAAGAATAAAATGGGTGTAGAGTCTAGAAAAAATTCCTAGGGGTTAAGAAATAGCAGGTATTGGGACAAATCAGATACAGTGACCCAATGAAATAAAAAGCTCAAAACAGGTTCTAGGCAAATAAAATAATAAGAGACTATTTGTTAATGCTTGACCCTCCTGAGGTTGGAAGGCAGGAAAATGGTGGTTGCAGTTAACAGTCATAGAAAGATGGAAATGGAAGGTGGTTTTTGGGGGGAATACCATCTACCTAAGTACACGTATGACTGTTGCTTTAATCCTTTCTTCCAAAAAACAAAACATCAAAGAGTATCTTGAATGTGATTAGTTAGCATCCCTACAGCTTTAAGGAGCACAGTAAAAAGTATTAGCTGTTTGACCATCAGCAAGTTATTTAACCTGATATCAATTTCTCATTGTGAAATGGGTATAATACATATCTTACAAACTTGTTAATTAAAAGGACATTATAAATGTGAAGCGAAGAGGAGGTGCTCAGTACGTGGTAAGGATGATGATGAGGATGAGGATGTTTTTGCAAAGAAATAGATGCCCCAGACCTGAGGCTCTGTCCACTCCCAGCCGTGGCACGTGGTCAGATAACAGGTACGAAGAGAAATACCTCTTCTTGAAATGCAGTCATGAGTGTGGTTTCTAGGTGGTAATGTGAAAGTGAGTATTGAATTTACCTGTGAACGAGATAGAAGAACATTGTCTTTCTAAAGAGGAAATCTTGACAAGATTTAGACTTTCACTGGATGTTAGATATACATGAAAGACCCTTTTTACAGAGTCTGAGTTTAAATTAAAACATGCTGTATCTCCTTTTCCTCCCTCTGTGCCCCCAGAGTCTTTCTTGTCATTTTTTTTCCTCTCTTTATAAATAAGTAGTTTTGTTTTTAACCACAGAACTCTCAAACCAAGAGGTAAATTATTTCCGGGCATATTACCTTTGATCTGCTAGAAGCGTGTGGGGGAGGGGAGAGTCTCTAACAGGAAGCAAACTCCTTGAACCCAGCTGTGGGCCAGCTCCCGAGTCACACCCTGCACGGGAGCCAGCGTTCACATCTTGCTCATAAAGAGGCACTGTGGACCTGCCCGCTGGTCACGCCTGGTTAGATGCTAATTATGCAGAATCACCTGCATGTGTTACCTGTGGCGTTGGCCAGCTCTGCCCAGTGGGTTCTCCTACCTCCGCAGCCCACAGCGGGAATCAGCTGCTGCTGACATCAGGTCATTTATGAGCAATAATTTTCCCAGTGCCTGCTTTGCCCTCAGAACTTTCACTATGCCAAGAAGAGTTCTAAGTGTGAAGCAGAAAATAACGCAGCCCCCCCAAAAAGCCCTGAATCACTTGGCTTATTGCCTTTATAGAGCATTATTTTGCCCGTGTGGAAAGATTCAGTGATTGCCTTAAAAGGCCTGAGCACAGTAACAGCTTCAGAGTACCAGCTGACAGCAGGGCCTGAGCAAGTGGGGCAGAAGAGGTGCCTGGGGACATCTGTCAATCACTCATGCTTTGTTCATTCAACAAACAGTTAATAAGCATCTACTATGTGCAGGTACTGAGCTGGGTGGAGAGCATCCAATTGCAAATAACACACATCCCACAGCCTGGTGAGCAAGTCAAAAAAATAAACAGGTACTTTTAATACGGTCTTGTAGTAAAATAATTGAGAAGGGCATAGGGGACAGAGTCTCAGGTCTGGGGTGTCTAATTCTTGGCCTGTGGGACACCTAGTGGGGACAGCCTGCAGACACTGCATCTATGTGCCTATAGAAACATCTAGTTCCAGGCAGCTACAAACAGTAGTCTCCTGTAGCCACAGGAGATTCCTGGGAACCGTGGCTCTGGCATGGTAAGAAGGGGACAGGGAGGTGAGAAGTCAAGTGTGGGAGCTCCCAACGCAGCCTGGGACTCAGGAAGGACTTTGGGAGGAGGCAGGACCCATGAGGAATCTCAAATGATGAGTAAATATTAGTGAGGCAAAAGAAGGGGGGAGGCAAAGGACATTCCAGGCCAAGGGGACGACGGCTTGAGCCAAGGGTTGGAGGAGGAAAACAGCATGCCTTTGGGGAGGGAGAGGATTCACCAACAGTTCAGTGCTCCTGAAGCACAAAGTTCAAGGCAGGGAGGGATGAAGAGATCTGAAGCTGAGAGGCGGGCTCTCTGGTGAGGTGTGCTCTCTGGTTGAGAAGTGGGAGCCTCACGTTAAGGACACTGACTGCATCAGACACACAGTGAAGAACGTTAACCAGCTCAGCGACAGGATCAGGTTTGTATCTGGAGATACTGCTGCTGGACGTGTGAAAGCTGTGTGAGGAGGCGGGGCAATCCCAGCGAGAGGTCAAAAACCAGTTGTGCAGAAGAGAGATGGCGAGGGCCTGAGCGAGGGCAGCGGACAGCTGAACCGGAGCGGTGATTCTCACAGTGCGGTCCCTGCAGCCACACGATGGAACACTATTTGGCAATAAAAGAAATGATACACTGATACTCACTATAACATGGATGAACCTCACGAACATTATGCCAAGTGAAAGAAGTCAGACACAAAAGACTCATATTTATGATTCCATTTAGATGAAATGTCCAGAAATAATAAATCTACAGAGGCACAAAATAAGTTAGTGGTTTCCTATTTTAGCGGGGTTGGGCGTAGAAGTGGGATTAACTGTAAATGGCATGAAGGATCTTACTGGGATGATGGAAATGTTCTAAAACTGGATTTAAAATGGTGATGGTTGCACACTTGATAAATTATGAAAAGTTATTGAATTGTACACTCACAATGGGTCAATTTCACCTCAGTGAAGTTGTTAAGGAACAAGCTTGGTCCCTGGATGAGCAGCAGGGGCATCACCTGGGGCTTGTCAGGAACGCAGACTTGCTTTCTGAGTCACACCACCTACAGGTGGCGCCCGGGACACCGATGTTTCACAAGCCCTCAGGTGATTCTGACACATGCTAAAATTTGAGAACCACTGGATTAGAGAAATCTTTAGGAGGGATATCGACTAGACTTGGTAGTCAAAAGGGAATGTGGGATGAGAAAAGGACAGTCCCTAAGGATAACTCACAGGTTTCCGGATTGGGAGGCCAAGCTGCTGGTGATGCCACCAAATGAGAGTGGGAACAAGAGAGACGGGCTTAGGAGTGAGTAGCCAGAGGTTTGCAGTGCCTGTGGGACACCTAGCGGGGATGGCCAGCAGACACTGCATCTATGCGCCTATAGAAACATCTAGTTCCAGGCAGCTACAAACAGAAGTCTCCTGTAACCACAAGCAGGTTCCTGGGAACCGTGGCTTCCGGCGTAGTAAGAAGGGGACGGGGAGGTGAGAAAGGGGAGTCTGGGAGTCTCACCCCACCTTTGAGAAGTTTAAGAAAGGAAGACAGGTGGGGCAGTAGCTAGGCAGGTATGAAGGGTCAGAGGAGGCTTACTTTAGAATGGGAGAAATTTGAGTATGTTTTGTTCATAGAGAGAAAGAGGATAGTAAGAAATCAAAAATCCAGGAGACAAAAAAAAAAAAAAAAAGGATGAATCTAGCCCAAGAAAAGGCAACAGGAGCTGGAGGCAGGGCAGAGCGTGGCCTTGGACAGAAGCAGCATGGGCATCCTATGACACTGGAGGACGTGGCTGTGCACCGGCGGGGAAGTGAGGAATAGCTCACCAGTGGACTTAATTTCCTACACAAAGGAGGAGGCCGGGTCACCTGCTGAGAGCGGGGCAGGGGCTGAACAGAGGGTTTAGGGTGGAGGTTGCTAGAGAGGCAGAGGAAAGGGAGTGAGGGGCTCCAGGGCGGGTGAGAGCTCCGGCAGATGATCAACACAGGACACACCTCGTGTGGGGACGAAAGGGAGCTCCAGTGGGGGCTGACAGGGAGGGGGCGAGGAAGAGCCCAGACCCCGGGAGTCTGCTGGGGCTCCATGTAGCAGATGAGAGAAAAGGGAGAGCATGGATAAGATGGAAAGAGGAGACTCTGGGCCAGGCTCTGCGGGCGAGCATTGTCGGGGGTTCTCACAACAAGAACGCGTTCCTGGGGTGGTAGGTGGATTGCATGTCCCGGTCTGAGGCAAGGCCGCGTGTAGGAAGCACACAACCCTAAGCCCACAATTCAAATGCACCTTCTACCAAATCCTCTCCACAAGGGGTGCTGCTGAGGTGCGCAATCCTGGAGCGCACTGTTCATCCTCCTCCAAAGTTAGTAAGTCTTGGTTGCACTATGGGAGCTGTAGATGGTGTTTAGAAGCTAATGGATAATCCTCAGTGCTCTGACATCTGACCCAGTGTTCTCTCTTCCCAGCATGGTGCCTGAGAAACGAGGGCGTGAGTTCCGTGCTCCTGGGGTCATCCACTCCTGAACAGCTCATTGAAAACCTCGGCGCCATCCAGGCAAGTACTGCAGCCCTTGCCAACAAACTCCAGGGAATTTCATGGTGTCTTTGTCCCCAGGCAGTGTCCCATCTCTCCTGGCCTCTGTCCTTCATCGTGTCACAGCTTCCGAGTCGCATGAAAGCCCCTAATATGGGGCACAGTGTATTTTGAGCTACTCTTCCATCTGTTCCTAGATGGGGGGCAGAGGGAAGGGGGACAGAGACACAAGAAGCAACAGAATTTCAGAGTACAGGGATCCAGGGATGTCCTCCTCTTATTAACAGGCAATGCTCTCAAAGCTCATTTCTCAGGATGGTTTGTTTCTGTGGGTCAGTGTATTCCAAGACCCAAGCAATGTTACAGCTGGCACCTGGGCTCCCAGGCCTGACCATAAAAGCCTGCTTAATAACCTGCTTGAAATGTAATAGCTGTAGGACAATATTCATACATCATTTATTCATTTGTTCCTTCCACAAATGTTTACTACCAACCCACAGTGTGCCAAGCCCCTCCTTTCTGCCCCCATAGCATCCTGTAACCCTCCTCCTCACAGCACTTAGGATACTGACTATAGCTGCCTGTCTCCCCTGCTGGACTTGAAGCTCCCTGAGCTCAGAGACTTGTGTCTTTCTTGCTTCTCCACTGACTTTCCAGTTCCTAGCATACTATATGGCCCTTATTCAACACTCAAGAAATACATGTTGAATGAATGAATGTTTGCCACGTTTCAAGAGCAGCAGGCTCAAAATTCTATTTTGGACTTCCAGAGTCACAAATTTCCTAGCAGCAAATTCAGAAGGGCCCATCCCCACTCGCTCCCCTGCGTGGATGCCAGAGGCCCAAGCACTGGATGGAGCCTGGAGGGCAGTAGGAGGGGAAGTGGGCGAGAGGTGTTCCTGGGAGTTCTATCTGAGGAGAGGGTTGGGGCTGGCGGCTGCTGTGACCAGCCCCTCCCCCAAAGCTGCATCGCAGTCCTGAGCCTGCCCACTCGCAGCCCCACTGAGGGCCTGCCCACTCCTCTTGCCACAGCCATCACCTGCCCAACAGGTAAGGGGTCTGTTTCCCTCTAGCTCACCGGGGGCACAGAAAGCCTCACAGCTGCTCCCGTCCACCTGTCCCTGAAACAAGCGCTGAGCCCTGTTACCTCTCCCAAAAGGAAGCAGATGGAGGTGGGGACAAACTTGATTAAACTTAAAATATTTAAAAACCTTTTCGAAGAGTAGCTCAGAATATGCTGGGGTTAATAAACGGGGCCGACCTCCTTCCCCACTGCCACCTTTCTTAGGGCTGTGCAGCAGGGTCATCGTCTCTGCCTCTCTGCTTCCAGAACCCCTCCCAGCTGCACAGCTCCTCCTGATTCTGCATGGGGAATGCTCCCTCTTGGGAAAGCCACCCCCACCTTCTTTTCACTTATGCTCTGGGAAAGACAAAGGCCACACAAGGAGGAGGAGGAAATAGGGGAACAGGCTGTACACAAAAGAAGTGAAATTCAATCCAATGACTTCAACTCGACTAATATTTATTGAGCACTTATTCTGTCTGGGACCGCTAGGCAGAGGGAGTACCGAGATAAGAACACGACCTGCCCCAAGAGCATAGGGGCTGGCTGAGAGCGAGCGAATTAGGAAATCTATCCCTCAGTTCATTCAGCAGATCTTTGAGAGCCTACTATGCACCAGGCACTGGGGACACCATAGGAAACAAGAAAGATGTCCAACCTTCAAGGAGCTTTCATTCCAGTGGGAGAGGCACATAATAAACAAACATAAAATAATTTCAAATTGTGAGAAGGGCTATTAAGTAAATAAAGAGGGTGTTGTAATAGAGACTAATTGAGAAACAGGTGGGGCTACTTTAGATTATGTCCTTGCCAAAGGCCCCTCTGGGATATGTGTATTTTGAAACCTAGAAGAAAAGAACATAGTACATGGAAAACCCAGGAAAGAGCATTCCAGACACAGGGGAGAGCAGTGCAAAGGCCCTGAGACGGGAAGGAACTTGGCTTTTTCCAGGAACTGCCAGCCTAAGGCTAATGTGGTGAGCGTGTGGTGAGCGAAAGGGCCAAGCGGATGCACGGAAGTGGAGAGGCAGGCGGGACAGATCTCCCAGGACACTAGAGGGGTCAGTCTCGTTCTACATGGAACCAATCCTTTGAGGGGTTTAAGAGGAGGAGGGACATGCTATTACTGGAATTTTTAAAGACTGCTCTGGCAATCTTTGTATGGAAAGTAGAATGAAGAAAGGCAAGGACCGTCGTCCAGGTGACAGGTGATGGTGGCCACGGAGGTGAAGTGGACAGATTCCAGAGGTTCTGTGGAAAGAGAGACATGACTTGCTGATGGCTTGGCAAGGAGAGGAAGGAACCGAGGCCTCCTATCATGCTAATTCAGAGAGATGCCTGCCATCCCAGGCGGAGGGAGTGCCGCCTGGGGATGTGAAGAGGTGCCTCCCGGGCTGCGGATACTCCAGGAAGCTGAGGCTGCATTTCAGAGGAAAACCCGTCAATCACCTTCCCAAAGCACTTCCTCTCTAGCAAGTCTCGGGCTGGTAGCAGGATGGGGCTTCCCCGCTCAAAGGGTGAGGGAAAAGGGCTGTTATCCACACGGGAGGCTGCTACCGTGGGGCCTACTATCCCTCCCCTTCCTACTCCCACCTGGGCCAGCCCAACACCCAAACCTCCGCCCTAGGCAAGCTGGGATTGGCCCCGGATGGTGAAAGCAGACTGGGTGGCTGGGGGCTCCCAGCAGCGGTGGGATTGGCAGCAGGTCAGAGAGCATTCAGTGCCAGCAGTTGTAAGGAAAGGAAATTTCTAATGGGCATGGGAAGGCAGCTGCAACAAGGGATGGAATGTGCCCGAGGTGTGCATAAACTGGAGGGGCATGTATAAATCAAAGCCAAAATAGATGGGAGAGACTGGGGAGGAGAAACCACAGCATCAGGCAGCCTACCATCACCGGCGCAGGTCCCCATCCTCCCCACTTCCAGCTAAAAACCGGATAGAATTGCCTCCACCCCACCAGCCTTAAAACCCCCCAAGACTCCCCATCACCTACTTCGTGAAGTCCAGGCTCCTCAGCAGTCAGGCCCTCCACATCCAGGGCTCAGCTTCCTCCCCGCTCCTCCCCCAGAATCCCAATCTCCAGCCACCATGAACCAGTCAGATCCCCAGAAGTAACAGTGGTCCTCTGCCTGCAAAGTGTCCCCCACCTCAGCCTGGCAAAATCCTGCTCCATCCCCAAGGTCCAGCTCAACAGTGACCCAAGCCTGAGAGGACTTCCTTAACACTTGCCAGCCCCAGCAACACTGGCCAGATGTCCCCTCACCCACCCATTATTCTAGTCAGTGTAACACCAAGGTTGCAAAACTGGTGGCCCATGGGATGTTTGTGTAATCTGTAGTAGATGAAAATGTTTTAAAATAGTTGCCAACATTAAAAAAATTGGGTGATTTCACATAAAATTCTGGATGTATGGCTTCTCTTGAAAATTGAGGTCTTGCAACTCTATATATATATATTTTTTTTCATGTTTTATTCAAGTACTTTGATGGTTTCATTTTTTTAATGTTTAAACCTCTTCTATCTGAGATTTATTTTGGTGTAATGAATGAAGAATTTTTTTCCTCACATGGCTAACCCACTATATTTTAGACACAAAACTTCCAACAAATCCAGTTTCTAGATTTGGGTCTCACTGTTGCAATCTCACTTTAAATAAGATATTAGTTTAGATCCTCTGAGACTGCACAGCTGCTGGGAACTCAAACTCTCCCTTTAGCTTCACTTAGGAAAATGTGAACCAGAACGAGTTTCCCAAGCTGAGTAGCTCCACGATTCTGCCAAACCCCAAGGCTTCTGAGGATAGCCCTTGAGTAGAGACAAGGGTACCCTGGCCAAGAGGGTTACAGCAGAGGAAGGGTGAGGCAGAAATCTCAGAAGTGGGCGTCATAATTGTGTTTCACCACAGCCTCCACACAGGGTCAGACTATTCCTGTGAAAAAATCTGCCTTTGTCCCTGTCTTATGGTGTAATGTGTGCCCTTGGCCCACTTCTCACAATAAATGCTAGCCGGGATGATCTCATCCTTTCCTGGGACTTCAATTAGTACGTCCATGCAAATGACTTAAAAATCCTCACCTCCAGTCCTCCTGCTTCTCCTACCACGCTCCACAGCTGTACTTCCAGTGCCCAGCTGCCTACGAGTCATTTCTACATGGAATTCCCACAGGCACCTTAAACTCAACACACCCTGCTCCAAACTTCTTATTCTCCCAACTATGTCTCCTGTGCTTTCCAATCCCAATAATCTACCTCAACATCCTTCTAGTCCCCAGTCTTGAAACCCCCCTCCTCCAAAGTCTCTCTCAGATCCACTCCCTTTTTCCACTCCACTGCCCCTGTCCTGTCAAGGCTCTTAGTGGCTCTGGCTAGGACTGCAGTAAATTTCTAACATCTGTGTCCCCTTTCAACCTCCTCCAACTCATCCTTCTACCACCAGGTGTCTGATGGGGTCACTCCCAGCTGAGAAGTCCTGACAGGTTCCCTACTGCCTAAAGAATACAGTCCCAACTCCAAAAAATGGCATTCAAGGCCTTCCACGCTTTTTACCCCAACTTCTTTTTCCCCTATTCCTACCATTTGCACCCCTCCACCACTCACTCTACACTGCTATCAGTCCATTTCACGTGCTTTCCACCTTTTCACGCTATTCCATCTACCTGGGATGCCTGTTAACTCCTGGCTATCCTTTACCAGGGTTCTGACCCCCCGTGGGAAAGAATCTCTTGTCAATCTCTACACCTGTGCTGTCCACTAGTGTAGCCTCTAGCCACATGTGGCTACTGAGCACACGCAAGGTAGCTAGGCCACAAGGAGACATGCTGTACCTGTAAAATGTCCACTGGATTTGAAGGACTTAGTACTTTAAAAAAATGTAAAAAATATTAATAATTTTCTATACTGACTACAGGTCAAAATGATTATTTTGGATATAATGGAGTAAAACTATGTATTAATTTCACCTCTTTTCACTTTTATTAATGTGACCACTAGAAAATCGAAAATTACATATGTGGCTTGCATTATCTTTCTTTGGACAGAGCTGCTCTGGATATTCTATAGTTATGAGCCTTCATTTATGCCTTATGTCTTCATTTATTCAGTCAACTAATAATTATGAGCACCAACCATGGGTCAAGCACTTACAGGCACTGGGGGTACAGTGGTGAACGAAACAAGGTCCCTGACCTCAAGGAGCTTAGTCTGGCGGGGAGTGTCCATTCTAGTTGTAGTTTATATACAAGTCTAGATGACTTCGCTTAATATTGAGCACAAAGACCCAGTATCAAGTACTAACCACATCCTTTGTACTTCTCACGCTCTCAGGTTCTCCCGAAGATGACAACACACGTGGTAAACGAGATTGATAACATACTGCGCAACAAGCCCTACAGCAAAAAGGACTACAGGTCATAAGGCAGTGCGTGAGCCAAGGAGCTGCAGGGTTAAAACAGTGTCTACACCGGTACAGAATGGTGTTACTAGCCAGTCTACTGAATCCCTTAGCAGCCTGCTGCTCAACCTCTAGTGTCCCCAAGATTCTGAGGGGTCTGCTGTCGCCACCACTGTGCACCTGAATTACAAACACATGTGAAAACTCACAACCAAGAAAATCCATTCTATTTTCTTATTTGACTGGAGTCCCCTTTCCTTGCATTGCTCCGTACACCTCATGCTTATGCAATGGAAAGTATGTGAGGGAAGACACATGACCTTCAGGCGTTTAGTAACTTAAAGAAGGCTGTACAGATATATTTTTTCAAATGAACAAAATCCACAGATGCAATGTGGATTGCATCAGAAAGAGTAGGCTATGTTCACTCAGAAGTCTTGCTTGAGAGAATAAGCAGAAACAATTTTACATTTTTTTTCTATTTTCACCTTCATGTTAGCAAGAGTTGTCATTCAACAAAACTAAAATTCTTAGGTATTTGCTTTCATTAGCTTTTAAACATTCACTGTCGCTTGGCCCCAAGAATGACCCTGTAAAGCAATTTACCCAAGGTGTCTATTAGGATTCTAACGATGCCATGTCCATTTACATGTAGAGATGGTAAAAGGATGACCACCCCAATCTTTAGAGACATTACGGTTAATTTATGAAAGGGAGGACTACACTGCTGTGGAAGCTTAGCTTTGAAGAAAATGAAGTGTTCATTTTTTACTACATTTTATTAAAATCTGCATTATACTTTTGACTGCTTGTAGGCACAGCTTCTGCAAATTTAAATATTTGAGCTTTAAAAATAAATATACACCTGCTCAGTTTTGTAAGTAAACCTGTAAAATACCCAAAGGCAAATGTTTGCTGTTTAATTAGCACTGGGATTTTACAATATAATGTTTGCTGTTTTTGAGGAGTTATTAACAAAAAGGTAAATCGTGGGCCTTGTGAAAAATGCTATTACTACTCAGCACATGCTGGGTGAATTAACTTGCCCAAGGAAAGCAAATGTTGAACTTCCTGATTCTATAATCACATTATGTACACTAAACTATATGCATGAAAGCTCTTTGCATGGATTGGGAGACAGTCTTGTTGCACTCAGAAGCCGAGGTCTAGCTAGCCCTGCCACTATTGGCTACCCGCCTTTATGAATATTCCACTTGAAAAAAATTTCGAGAATATATCGCGTGTACCTGTAAGAAGGGAGAAAACATGGGGTTTTTTCTTTTTGGGGGTGTGTTGCGGGGGGTGTCTCTATTTGGACACCTGAGCATGTACAAAATTCTAGTTTAATTTTCTGGCCAGCAGGTCTCCCATATAGAAATCACTTTGAGACTTACAGAAGAAATATACTATCAGCTTTAAATGCTATTTCCTGCCATCATTTCCAGATATGTATTTCTTAATTGTAAATCTTAAAATGTTAGTATGAAATAACAACAAATTTTCTTTTTGATTATTACTATTCTAATAGGGAATTCAAATTCTAATAGGAAAATAGGATTCTAATAGGGAAATTGTTTGGCTTTTTTGCCCAAGTGTATCTGATTAATGGTGGAAATGGATCATTTTTCAGTTGTTCATTGTGTATTCAACCAATCCAGTGAACTACTATATGTATAAATGAGCTCAAGTTGTCTAACTGGAACTGCAATTTAACTAATTAATTTGCTTAGAGTAATAAAAGCATTTGGTGCATTTAATCTGTTTTTATCTGATTTTTCATTATAAGGTTATATATATATATATCCATCTCCATAAAATAGGCAGTAAAAATCATTTACACAAAAATTACGTTGGCAGGTAAGCCGCACAGAATGATACCTAACAGAAATAGCAGTTAGCAAGATTTAAATTGCAATGCAAACTTTTTTTCTTATTAATGGAGAAAATGATTAGCTACTAAAGATTTCATTTCTCATTAGGTTTTAGAAATACTCTGCACTCAGGGCCGGTCTTCCTCAGCAAATAGAGGAGGATTGGCATGGATGTTAGCTCAGGGCTGATCTTCCTCACACACAAAAAAGAAATACTCTGCACTAAGGTTAAAGCTTCTCAAACTCATTAAAAAGAACCTGCAAATTAAAACTAAATACAAACAGTATTGCTTAGCCATGGGAACAGCTAGTTTTCTTATACACAAATCATCTGCCATGGCAAATATATTAGATAAATACATTTCACAGTTATATCCTTAAGAAAAATTTCCATGCACTCTCATTTTCTTCTCTTTTCTGGGAAGAATTCTGTGGCAGAGAACATACCATTCCCAAGGGTAACCTGGGTAGCAGCCATCCACATACTGAAATCCCAGCCAGAGGAAATGCCAATTAGAAACACTGCGCCTGGCTTCCCACTTGAAGTGTCACTTCATCTTCATCAGGAGTGCCAAGCTCTGATAGATGTCATAGCTTCAAGGGACCTTAGCCGTGCTCAAGGCCACCCCTCCTTGGCAAATGAGGAAACCAGGCCTCGAGAGATGAAAGGACTCGCCCAAACTGACTGCTAGTCGATGGCAGACCCAGGCCTAGAACCCAAGTATTGTGTGTTCCACTTCAGTGCTCTTTGAAGAATGATTTTCTGTTTTAGCTTTAAAGCTTTATGAAAAAGTAACTGTGTGTGTGATTTTTAAGTTAAAAAAGCTTGGGTATGAATCCAAATTCAGGATCAGTTAAGAGTGAAAGATCAGAGAAGAGATGCAATGAAAACTCATTAAGGCCAGTGAACACCTCCGTGAAAATCCAAACCAACCGCTCAGACGCCCTCCTCATCTTCAATTCCCCTGCTCAGGAGTCCAAGGAGGTGGGAGATGGCCTCTTATAGCCCAAATAAATGTATCTGCAGACAGGTTCTCTCTCTGTGGACATGTCTATCCTCCCTTTGCATCTCCAGAAGCAGCAGTGACTGGCTAGCACACTGGAAACACAGCAACTGGGTGGGCAGGAGGGCACAGCAGGCACATACTGGTGAAGAGGCCCGACGTTCTGCTGTGATGTAACCGCACTGGCCCGTCAGTGCCACACAGACATTTCATGAGTAACGACAAAATGCACATTTACATGTGTGGGAAATTAAAATGATGGTAATGTGAAATAATGTAATAAAGAGGATATACTTATTCACATGGTTCTTACAAAGAACTCCAGGAAAAATATAAATTTTAAAAATCAAAGTTTAATGATACTTAATAAGCAAGACCTTTCACAAGAATTTTGGGTATGAATCCAACCTCCCTATTTCAGTTAACCTCAAACCTTGTTTCAAATTATTCTTTCCACATTAGAATACTACACCAAACAGGACCACCAGTAAATCTTTACTGGCTAAGAATAATTTCAATCCAAGATTTTTATTAAGTTGTAAATAAGGAAACTAAAAATAGAGAAATGTAAACATTCCAACCCTTCAAGGCTCTACTTAGCACAAGGAGTGAGAAAAAAAGGAATTCAATCACTTTGCATCTCAATTACAGCAGAACCCCTTTTACTGTAGTGGTGTTAGACATGGGGTCTTTTTAGGATGAAAATTTTACAACAGCAGGTTTCTACTTACTGACCCAGACTCAGCACATCACATTCCCTGTGCCATGTTGCTGTTTACTGTTCTGCGTTTCCCGAGAGTAAAGTCCCGGTGCAGTATACCCTTAATGAAGACTGTGGAACTGGGAGAATATGCTTTATACACTTATGCACAGAAATTTATCTCAGAGTACAGAAACCTAGAAACTGTTATCAGGATGAAAACAAAAAGTGCTATAGGAAAAATTCAGGGCCAAAATCCAACTTTGCATACTTGCTTTTCTACAAATTATTGTTTATTAATTCAAAAGAAATTATGTGAAGAATATTAAGCTGATGCCCCTATCTCACCACCCCATCTCAGCTACACTGTATTAGACTGAGAATGGTGGCAATTCTCCCCCATCTATACAGGCACTGCCATCTAGTGGCAATTTTTTACTGGCTATTTAAAAAGGTACTTGGCCCAGCTCTGGTAACCAACAGTCCACACCGATGGTTTGTCAGTCATTTTGTCAAGTAAGCAAATGCATTTGGTACATGAACTCCATGCCACAAGTCAAACTAACGACCCGTTATTTATCCAGAGAAAAAAAGAGTTAAAAAATAATAATAAAAACCTCTTATGTGTGACACTAACTACCCTGCAGCGAATCTCTTCTGACTTTCCCGTTCGCTCCATCTCAGTGATGGTAAATGGATAATAACGCACCAAAGGAAAGAACTGCAAACTTCTAGAAGCTATGATGAAATATAATCCTCAACTGAAGGCAATGAGGATCTGGGTCACTATGCAAATATACTCCTGCCTGTCTTCCTTCCAAGTTCTTGGATGTGGCCTACCACAACATCCAACAGCACGGAAGTACAAGATGAACTCCAGATGAATACCTTTCTATAAACTTATAAATAAAACAGCGAATGTTATTTGCAACATCCATCTTAAATTTAGAAGTGGAAACTAAAAATTAAACTTAGGATTAGGAATTAGTAATATGATATTTCCTTTGAGGTACTGCTTGTAGGAAATTACTAGATGTGGTCAAAAGCTAATAGGAACGTGAAACCGACTGATCACCTGTGATCCCATAACCTTTTAAGTTGATATAGGTTCAAGAAGAGCTTTCCAAACTTTCTCAAATCATGGCACACACAGAAAATGATAGTATCTGTACCAACACTGGTTAAAAAACGCAAGAGACTGCTCTCAGCTGGACTCCCAAGGGCTGAAGAGATCAATGTTTTGTTCACAATCTATGAGAACCCGTGGACTAAAGGGTCAAATTTGTGACAGTCCTAATGGAAAAATGCTAACAAGCACTAAAACCACTGTAACTCCTTGGAGTGTTAGAATTCTGGAACAAAAATTACTTTGGTCTTTTACACGTCAATATTCAGGAAAGAGGTCTCTCTCTTACTCAACATTCCTCCAGTGGGGTGAGACTCTGCTCAAGGAAAACAATGACTCCAGGCTCTTAATGGTCAAACCAACAAGGTGGGGTCGAGCTGACCTCCCGGGCCACCCAGGGCCACAGCTCTGCAGCTGAACAGTGTGTGCTTTAACCCACAGGACACCTCCCATGTGCGTGGGTACTATTTTTAGGTTATTACCTTGGCTGCCTTTCTTCTTTAAAAAACAACTTTTCCACAAGTTTTTCTTCTCCAAGTTGGAGAACCCATGTTTTTAACTTCAATCAGTTATTTCAAATTACAAATTCAGAGACTTATAAACATGAGGCTTCTCAATCCCCTGGAGGAGAGGATTCATTCTGATATTTATGGTTCAAAAAAAGTTGTAATATTGTGCTTGGAACATACAGAACCAGTTATTAACTTCTTGCTACTATTATAACTAATAACAGCTCACTCAGGTTACTGTGACCTCTGACAGATTAAGGAAACAAGTTATTTTCTCCTCTTGTGATTATAGCACATTGCGAGACAATTTTTGTCTTTTAATAAATGTCCTGGTACTCTGAGTTTCCCTTTCAATTCATTTAATTTCAACGATCTGCCAAAAAAGAGCCAATAAACAAATATTGAATTACATTTTGTTGGTTTTTCAAACCCTCAAACTCCAGACTATAAAAACATCTTGTGTTTCCCGCCCCCCACCCCGCAACCACCCTGCTACTTTTCGGTGTACACAGGCCACCCACAGACACAAAGCCAGGGGGCTGGGCTGACACAGTCTACTTGGAGCCAGTAGACAGGAGGGCGATGAGGCCTGAGGAAGCACTTATGGATAAAATGTAGTTCCTGTAAGAATTGAACGTTAAGGAGAAATTAAGAACCCAAAATTAGTTTTTCAACAAAACAAAAAGAGCCCATCTCTTTGGAATGTACTGTTTCCCTCCTGACACTCTGTATAATAACAATGATGTGCAGTCCCATTGTCTGCAAACACAATTTACAAGATAGAAGACTATAAAGAATGAATAACATTCACAGGAAATGTGTTCCAATTTAAAAAAAAATACTTGAGACAGAAACCTAGAACACATGATCACAAAGAAAACATGTGAATTCTATTTAACCTTCAGAAGACAAGTTGATCAAAGAACATGGGGAGGAAGAAGAAACTTGTTTTCTTCCTCCCCCAGGAGCAAAGGAGTAATAAGTCTGCTCTGTCCAGCAGTGTTTTGGCTATAGCTGGCCCGTAAAAGCAAGGAGGTTCTGAAAGTTCGCAGCTACTCAGCCTCAGGACTAGACTATCTGGGGCAAAGCCCTCCAGGATTCGCAGACGATGCAAGTTGAAGCGTGTCTGTACATTATTACAACAAAATCTCCAACTGTTCAAAGTTTGGCTACACATTCCTGGATAACGCCTTTAATAAATTACCTTAAGAAGAGAAGACTGATTCTTGCCCAAAAGTTCAATTTAAGAGTAGCCTGAAACAATGTTAAGATATTAGGCAATGTGCCTATTTGACTGCACTGGCTACTCACCCACCCCAAAGCCCCACCATACCAGGAGACACATGGGCTTATGCCAGGAGCTACCCAAAAAGGCAAGTCTGCTCTCACTCCTTGCAACTTTTTTTTACAAATGCAAGTATACATAATCATATATGTAACACTGCCTTGTACTACTTGTTACTTATCAAGAAGTCATAATTTATAAACTTAAAAGAACTTTAAATCACAGCAAAAGCCCTTATTTTAAATTTCCAGAAACCTGGCTA